AAAAGTACTTTAAACTGTATAAATAATGTAAAATTAAATTGATTTAAACAGCCAATCATACGAATGTCTTCCTATGAACTATATGTATAGAAGATAGATATGCCTTCCTACACCTCATTGCCTCGCAAATATTTCGTTATTAGAGAAAATAAATTGATAAACAATAATATAAAACGGCAATATAAATGCACAAATGCACAACTTTGAAGACTCTGCGTACTAACAAAAAAGTTTTATTGCAAAATTGAACTCGATACAAAGTATCTTAAAATTCAAAAATATTTATATAATACTAACTTGTATGTTATACGAGAACCCAGCATAATTAATTTTTGTATCGTTATAAACAGCCAAAATTTCTACTATTATTCTCTTAAAAAACGAATATTTAACTACATGCGTAGCGTTTTAAAATTGGGCACACCTACGCAAAAATGAAATAAGTATTATATACATCACAGGAAGCGATGTTATTAAACTAATTACTCTTAGTGTTATGAAAATCTAAAGTATATGCATTACTGTATATAATCTTATAAACTTTCTGTCGTTGTCGCCTCAAACAAAAATCATATCGGCCCTAGTGGTTGTTGTGACTCTGATTTCGTTTCCATCTCTTTTTGTGGTTGATCGAGTTTTTCCTCCATCATTTGTGGATATTGCTGTTCTTTTTCTTCTTGTGGCTTTGACTCTTCTGTGATAACTTCTCTTTTATCAGATTCTAGTACATCTCGAGTCCAACATTCCATACGCGAATTTAGAGTTTTTATTGATACAGGTCTTATTTGTGAATTTGATATTAGTATTTAATAATAATGAACATTTTTTTAAAAAAAATTATTTCTTTACTTTGTTAAAAATTCATTACATCCAGCTGCTTCCTATATCATAAAAAAGAATCATAATAATTAGCATATATATTTATTAAAGTTGTCCAACAAACTCCATACCGCGGCTTCACTATCTTCCTATATTCCCCAATGATAAAAGATAATTCAAATCAATAATTAATTCAGTGCCAACACTTCAAGGAAAAAAAAAAAATTTTTTTCATGCATACCTCAGAAGCAAGTCCAGTCATTGCTATAATAATCGCTTTTTTCCGGCGTTTCCTATCTGTGCTTGTTAAAAATATATCATAACTTATTGGCGTTTCAGATATCAAATATGACTCCTCGCCGTTTTCTATTTTTCGAATCTTTGTAAAATAAACGTTTTTTTTTTTTTTCTTTTTTTTTTTTTTTTTTTTGATGGATTTAAGTAGCATAAAAAAAATTAAATTATTTGTCATGAAAACTTACTTCTTTTGTTGCTTCAATCTACGCATTAAAAAAAAAAAAAAAAAATAATAATAATAATAATAATTATATATTTTATTCATTTCATTTTATACATTTTATTTTATTTTTTTTTTGATTTAAAAAAATAAAGTAGCATACCCCATCACAAATCGGCATTTGTAAATCCTGTCACCAAAAATCGCAGTTATATTACTGCAATCTCATCATTATTCGATCATTTTAATTCACGCGGACTCACCATAAATATTATATCATATAATTTCTTAGAAAATTTTTGGACCGCTGTTTGTATAAAAGAAAAAATTCAGTATTTTTAAAGATACTTCAAAAAAAAAAAAAAGTACTAAGTAATAGACCTTCAAGTCCATTAATAGCCACATCATAATTACTAAACCCGGTTTGTTTTAACATTGTTTTTAAAATCATTGCGTTAACCTTATTATCCTATGAAGATTTATAATAAAATAAGATTAATAATGTTTGTGCATAAAGCACTAAAGTATAAACATGCTTTTCTCTTTTTTTTTTTTTTTTTTTTTGACATTAAAAAACGCAACCTCAACAATAAGAAACGATATATCTTTCAGAGTCTTTTCATTAGCTTCTTTTTCTTTGCCTTTTGTTAAATGTGCTTTCTTTCCTTCAGATTTCTCAACTGTTGAAGATTGTTCTTCAATCGATTGTACCCTAGTAGGTTCCGTTCTTTTGGTATCATCATCCGTACTATAAACAGGGTTCGCTAAAGCTTTTTCGCTAACACTGATCGGAAACTCCTCTGTCTTATCAGCTGCTAGTCCATATATACTTGATGAAAATAATAATTCACCACCTAGATATACTTCTTGCGCTTGCGAATAATTACATACAGCAGGCTCTTCTTTTATTACACATATATTTTCGGATGTGGGTGAAAGTAAAGACTCTATCACTTTTATTATACCCGTTAAAATTTTTACCGGACCAGCCGGCTTTTTAATAATAATAAATTTAGTAATATAAAATTGGATTAGTATCATTCAATTTGCTTTTTGCTTTATTTATTTTTTTTTCTTGTTTGTTTGTTTGTTTTACCTTTGATATGACAACAGCAAATTGAACTTTATACTTTTGTAATGCATTTTGCGCGTTCTGATAATCTTCGATCGTTGAAAAGAACAATATCCGTTGTTTTTTCTCGTCTTTATGCTCTCGCTTCACGCTTTTCTCACCCCCTTCAATGCTACTTTTCATAGGTCCATAAAATTGCACAAACTCGTCCAAAAACCATTCCAAATCACCAATACTATCATTTAAAATCACAATGTCCGCATGCTCTTTTTCACACTCAACCTTCAAATCTTCTTTCTTTATTACTCGATATTTAAATCCCCATTGATCTAAAAAAGATGTTATTCGTCGCAAGAATAAGGTATTTTCAGATTTCAGTACAGCAAAGGATAAAGACTGTGAACGAGAAGTTAGTCGATATTGTTCTTCGGGGGGAAGTTTTAGATATTGATGATCGAATGGTAATTGGGAAGGTACAAGGGATTCCCATTTTTGAGATAAAGGAAGCTCGAGAACGAAAGAGAATTTACTACCAACTCCGAGGTTTGATTCGACTTCCAAACGGCTGTGCATCATATCTAGTAGACCTGTATAATGACTTGTTAATTTTTTTTTTTTGTCATTTTTTAAAGCTATTACAGTCCAACCTCCCTAAATGAAGTACCTCTTTAAATGTAACCGAAAGCTTGGCCAAATATATTTCTGGCGCCCATAAATGCAATTTTTTCTTATTGCTTTATAAATGTATGGTATCAAAAGCTTGGTCCCAACGAGTTACACTTAGGGATGTCTGACTATATATTAATTTACCTTTAACGATACTAAGACCCAGTCCCGTTCCTTCAAATTTTCTACGCAAAGATGAATCTTCCTATTTATAAAAGATTAGTTTTGCAATAAAGTTAATGTAACAATAACGTAAGTTCTAACAAACCTGAGAAAACGGTTGACACATATGATTCATAAAATCAGGGTCAATTCCACGTCCAGTATCAATTACTTCTACTCGAAACTTAACTATTGGTGTTTCTGGATCACTTTCACCACTATCATTATTCTCACTTTCTGAAGATAAAATCTTTTTTACGTTATCTTTCTTAGATTCAGTTTCATCAGTTATTTCAACAGCAGTTAGTTCAACACTTCCTTTATCAGTAAACTTAATCTGTGATTTAAAAAAATGATAAGAATAAAATTTTTCTTGATTTTCGCGGTGCAGTTAATTAAAAATAATTGTACACACAGCGTTTCCAAGAAGCTATCATTTGATCAACAAACTAATTAATACACATAAGACCAAATTAAAAAAAAAAGAAAAAGCAATTTCATAAGAAAAAAATAAAATAAAAAAAATTACATTCAATATGATTTGCCTTAAGACTCCAACATCACCGACAAGAAACCTATGCATCGGATTCATTTCTACATATATATTGAAATTTAATTTTTTCCGCTCAGGAATTGGCGCCAAACCTATTCATTAAAAAAAAAAAATATGAAGATCTTTTCTTTTTTTTTAAAAAAAAAAAAAAGAGGAAAATACATCAACAAACCATCCCCGATTTCTTGCACCACTGTATAAATATCGAATATATTTTTTTCCTTTGCCATAAACCATGGTTAGTTAGTACAAGAATGGAATGGTTGTTTAAATATATATTGACTTAAACATTACCAGTTCCATCTTGCCATGTTCAATTTTTGCGTATGTCAATACTTGATTAACTACCTATATAGTCACAAAACAGGGTTAGAAAGAAATTATCATTTAAAAATAACGATAAAAATAAATAATAAATAATAAACCGATATTAAATTCGTTCCACAACTTTCAATAGCATTAAGTAATGCGCGTTGAGATTCGTTTAATTTTGTGTTTGATAAAATTTCGACGGTTGCGAGTATACCTGTAAAGACCCGGTTTAATAGTGTTAAAAAATTAAATTTTGTTTTATGAAACTATAGGTCGATTTAAAATATATTTTCTCACCATGCAAAGGCTTAGCATATATTTAAATGATGAAATATTTGAATATCAAATTAGCTTTTATCTATTTTTACGTGATGGTTTTTGAGTTCTAAGTAAAACACACCGTTCGTAATTCTGAAATTTTTTTCGTTGATACCAGCATATACGCGAAATAATCAATACACGTTATTTATGCACAACATTCACATAAATATTATGAATGACAACAGTTGCATAACATTACGAACCATATGCAACGTTTAAAGGAAATAACAAACCATTGATTTTAAGTATTTATATATTTGCAATAAAGTCAAAAACATCGATAATATTCATAAATCTTACCGTGGCTAACATTAGAAATGAACATGGACTTTGCGGTTTCTGCGGATCTTGCCTAAATTAAAACGGATGATAGGATGTTACTTGTAAAATGGACAACTTGACAAACTTTTTTTAAGGACACATTAAATATCAGATGTATAGATACGATACCTCATCCAAGGATTTTTGCATGCGTTCTTGATTATATTGGAATTCTTGTTCATAAGCAACCTTCGTGTCATGTGTATAAGTTAGTTAAATGGATGAGGATTAGAGATATTGGTGAAATTAATTCACCAATTCACCACTAGTTTCACCAATCGTGGTGAAATTATTTCACCAATTCGCCACTAGTTTCACCAATTCACCACCAGTTTCACCAATCGTGGTGAAATTATTTCACCACACTGATTTTATTTCAACGTCAACTTTAGATGAGAGAGACGTTAAATTTGTTTTAAAAGTACTCACGAATAAAAAGTAAACAAAGCATATTATATAAACATCACAAATAACCCAGCCAGTAGCTGACAATGATATTGGGATCTCTTTTCCAATAGATCTAGTAAATATGATAAATGTGATAAAATAAATGAGAGTAATATCTATATCGCATCAACATCAACATATCAGATTATAATCGCAATAACACTCCAATTAATCACGAGTACGCACTGAATGAACGAAATCACATATATCACACAGACTATAATTGTAGTCGTTCTTCCAAAATTTTTGGAAACAAATATATATCTTAAAATGAATCATGAATTATTAGTTTATATGAATATAACATAACATATCGATATTATAGATAGATTAAACATACCCAAAAGGGGGAACAGCAAAAAAGTTTGCATGACTCAAAGTTTGGAATCCTTTTTTAATTGAATACAAAAGATAAAAGAGATTAAGAGTTTAAAATGAAAAAAAAAACGAATATACAGTAGCATACACAAAATACACAAAATACACAAATTATAAGCATACCATTTTCAAGACAGGAGATATATACGAATATTAACAAAAAAAAATAAACACCAAATTTGGCAGCTTGAACAATTGTTATTTTGCCACTTGGTATGAAATATAACATCGCTATCAACATCATGCGAAAAAATTATCGAAAATTCGATAGCACAGTAAAATAAAAAAAAATAATAATAAATATAAAAACACGTTTAGGAAAAAAAAAAAAAATCAATAGTAACATTGATCGATAATATTCAACCTACCAACATAGAGAGTGGTACCGAGTAAAGTAATTGGCCAAGGAAATTCAGGTTTATTTAATGATCCATTAAGTAATATCAGACAGAGATCGATTAAGAGCTGTAAAACAAGAACGAAGCATACTGATACTGTGACAATAACAACAGCACGCGCTTGCAATAAATTACGTCGTGCCAAATAGTCTTTATCATAATCTAACAAAAAATAGGAATATTAAATATCGTTATTTGTATAAAAAAAAAAACAAGATGGAATCAATGGAACAATAATCGAAAAATAATAATCAAGAATAAGCGAGAGTGTATCATCAAAAGAACGTAATTACATAAATAATAATTATTTCTTGAAAGACAAAAAAATCAAACAGAAATAGGGAAGATAATCGGTCCCTTAATCATGAATAAGCAAGCTTTATTAATAGCTCTTAAAGGAAAATTATGATGTGATGAATTCTTGGGATATAATTTCAGAAATAAAAATTTTTTTTCATAATTTACCCTGATTTAGTATCTCAGGAGGGATCAATCGATCGAGAACACTATAAAAGTTTATCTTGTCTCTGAAAGACATTGTTATTATTCGTATACCTAGCGAAAGAAAAACCGGATGGTAAATTATTAAAAAAAAGGTTTCAGATCGAACATCCAGTGTGCTGATTTATCTAATTTGGCGTCCGAAAAACCTCTTACAGCACGATGTCGTAATATTTTGATGTTCAGAATAATAATCCCGCTAATTGGTTGTTTTTCTTTAATGGCCCATTCCTAATTAAGACATATTTATTACCCAAAAAGTCAACCATTTCACATTTATGGTAAAATTTTTAAAGAACTGGTTTTTTAAATTTGTTTTATATATATATATATATATATATAAAAAACAAAAAAAAAAAACAAAAGATTATAAAAATTTTAAAATAACGATAATGTGGTATCATGACGATGTGAACATTGTGACGAGTCGATGTATCTCATGATCTCGTTGAGAGAATTCGAATTCAACTACAGGATCATAAGATAAATGACTTTCGGGACAAAAGAAGTATTCTAATAATGTATCTCGTGATATAGCGAATGTATTTGATTGATTTTATACCATTCGATTTCTCTCAATGAGGAGAAGTCGAATGGAGCAAAAATTATTTCGTATCTAATCATAGGTCGCGAGATGTTTCTTTGATGAGATAGTGATATGTATAAGATACGATTATTTTATCACAAAATTCTCGTTCAATTAATTATTCTATTTTAGCTTATATAATTCCAAATTAAGTATAAATCTGCATAAATAAAAAGTTTCTATATTAGTAATACCCTATATAGAAAATACAGTACGGACTGTTTAATGGTCTGTAGTTTAATGATACTTGTTTTGGCAGTCATCAAAAGGGCAATTCAATGAATCAATTTTGGGAAAGGTTAATAACGTCATGCGGGTTTACTTTTCCCCACCACTTCACTATCGGAGTACTATAAAATTGATTAATAGCACAGATACTCCGATATGTGTATAATTAGTAGAACCAATCAGAAGTGGTGGGGGAAATTAGTAAACTCGCGTCATGTAAGATTCGTCATACTACGTATCGGTGTTATTGCAATCAATCAGTTAAAACTTTTTATAATTCGGTTTCAAAAGAAATTGATTAATAGCAATCGCAATAGGTGAAATTTTGTGCTAAAGTTATCGTCGCATGTACGTCGATCATTTCCATTATAAGGTTCTTAGTTATGTAATAAGGTATTTCATGAATGACTTTGAGAATGACTCACTAAAAATAATGACTAAAATATTTTAAAGATTACTCACAATAAATGCATAATATTGCATATATAAAAAGGAAATTGAAACCTATAATACAGTCATGTATACATTCATACATGGTAAATTATACAGTGTAGTAAAGAAAAGTTTGAAAAGAATTGCACCTTATCTAACACGTTTTTCTACAATGTCTACCACGAATAATATTAATATTAATAGAGAAAACTCTACTACTTTCGCTGATTCAGACTATAATAGTACCGCATACAATGCTTATCGTCCTACGTTAGTTAATTTTTTAAACATATTAATAAAAAAGGAAATTAAATTATTAAATTAATAAATTAATTATTTTAAATCAAAATTTAGGTATCCATCCCAACTTTACTCAAAAGTTTATGATTATCATGCCTCACATTCCTCGTCTTTTTCCACCGCATTAGATATTGCAACTGGCACTGGCTACGTCGCCAAAGAATTATCAAAAAAATTTCAACAAGTGTATGCCACTGATATTTCTCCAGTTATGCTTTCATCAGCTTATCGCTCTTCAAATATTCAATATTCGGTTAGTACAGCTGAAGACCTTTCCCAATTTCAAGATTCGACAATTGATTTAGTAACAGTGGGTCAAGCACTTCACTGGTTCGATAGAGAAAAATTTTTTAAGGAAGTATGGAGAGTTTTGAAACAAAGTGGAACATTGGCCTTTTGGGGGTATTCATACAATGTTATCGATGGATACCCAACTGCTACGAAAAAATTTATGAAACTTGGGGTAGAGACATTTGGAGATTATTGGGATCCTGGAAGATTAGTGGTAGATAATATGTATAAAGAAGTTGTGATTCCTGATAAATTGTTCAGAAATATTATTTGGAAAAGATATGAATTTGATGAGAAGGAAGGACAAATGAGTAATGGTGAAAGCCTTTTAAGTGAAGAATGGAGTGTTGAGAGATTTAAGAACTATATAAAGGTGAGTTCAAAAAATATATCAATTGAGTTTTTTTGTTTAGATATATGTATATGTTTTTTTTTATTCTCTTTTTTTTTCTTTTTTTTATTAGACATGGAGTTCTTACAAGAATTATATGTTCAAGTATCAAAGAGAAAACCAGAAAGTAGAAGATCCAATTGACAAGTTGTTTGAGGAACTTGAGAAGGAAGAAGGATGGAAAGATGACCAGATTTTAAAAATTTCTTGGCCTCTTGTTCTTGCCTTTGTTGAAAAAAAGTAAAAAAGTGAAAAAATTCACTAAAATTCATATGTATAAAAAATTCATATAATGGTTGTATTATTGTTTTTGTGTTGTTTATACCGTTTAGCACACTTATAGTACCCAGGATCTTATTCAAAACTCTCATTATTTTAAATTGGAAATACTGTTTCAAATCTAAATACAAAATACTTTTTTTTATACGAAATATTATTTTTTAGATATATACAACCAAATTTATATTTTTTTCAAACAAATTATAAATACTTTTTAAAGTAGTTTCTTAAAAATATATATATAATAAATAAAACTAGTATTAATGTGGAAAGGTACATATAGAACTGGGTACTATATTTAGATACGATTTATATGAAAAGTAATAAACTAAATGGTAACTGCTATTGTGATCTCTTTAAACCGTATAAGTAATATCAAAACCGATAAAGAACGGTCATAGTTTTGTTTAGTTTTCATTAATGGACTTTCAAGCAAAAGTTCTCTTCAAACTTAGATAAATACCAATATTTACAAGAGCTAAAAATTATATATTTATATTAATTTTATTTTTAACTGAAATGTCCAAGGATTACATTAAAATATTAAGAAAACGCTAATATATTGCATTTGTTAACTTCATCTTAAAACATACATTTTATTCGAAAAATTAAAAAGCTTCATTGAATATACCTAAACATTCTCAAAGCTAAGAAAATCCCAAAAAAACATGATGCCATCTGGGCTTCGTAAGACCCGGTAATAGTCAACCAAATGAGACATGATAATAATATAATAAATATGATGAAATCAACGTTATAGTATATAAAAGTTTTGATTCCACCCTAGATCATAAGAAAAAAAGGCGACTGATATATTACCCCCCACAAAATTTAAAATTTTTTCTAACTTTAAGCAAATATATCTCGGCAACTGCTTAACCAAATTCAATGAACTTTTTTTTAGTTTAATTTTACAAATCTGCAGAATTAAAAGAAAAAAAAAGTTTACCAATTTTATTAGATAGATACTGAGATATCTTCGCTCAAAGTTTTGAAAAAATTCAAATTTTGATTCTACATATCGTAGAATCAGAAAAAAAATTTTATTAAATTTGGTCAAAAAGTTACTGAGATATCTTTGCTCAAAGTTAGAAAAAAATTTAAATTTTGTGGGGGTATGTATATCATGCAGCCAAAAAAAAAGGTAAATGAATATTTTTGTTTTATCTTTGGAAAAAAATTTATTGAAATTGCCTTTCATACCTCCTTATCAGCAAGAAAATAGACTTTATCAATATTTTTTGTATCACTTTCACAAATTCCTTTCAAAATTCTCATCGTATCCGAGTTCGTCGACTTAGCCACAACTTCCTTTCCATTTTCAACATAAAACATTTCATAAGGATAATTAAATGTATTTAAGTAACGTAAAGTATCGTTAATGAACTTCGGTAATGTTTTGTAATTTATAGTTGATTTTTTGACATTGAATGTATATTTAGTTGAGAAGATCAGGCTAATTTGGTCATTATCTGGGGTAAAAGGTGAGGACTCGGTAGGTTGAGAAGAGGTAATAATGCGATTTTTTAATGTAGAACTTGTCATTTTTTTTTAGAAAAAAATCTTGATATATGTATTTACTTTTGCAAAATTGGATTAAGATTTTGAATTACAAGATTGGAAAAAAGAAAATCGAGTTTTTTTTTTAAAAAAAGGTTGAATTTGTAATTTTTTTGGGGTTCGGAAGATAGTTTTTGGTAACACGAGGTTTTACAATTACAAATTTGCCACAGTTGGAATTGTGGCACATGATACTGTAAAAAATAGTTTGCCATTGACATGAAAATTATTGCATTATCGTTATTGCCTTTTATATAGTTTACAGTATATTTATCATACGTAGAAGGAAATTTTTTTAAAAAAATATACACATACAGTAAGTATACATAATATTGTATTTACTGTATATTTATACGTAAAACAACACTCGTTATAGCGGAAGTTATCAGGCTAAGAAAAAAAAATCTTTATACAATTTATATCGAGGAAATACTACAGCATGTGCACTTTGCTATATCGAGTTGGATATCCGATAGCTTACTATGATAGTGCTGCCAAAATAATTCGAGTTATTTGGCAGTTTATGTAATCACTACCAAAACTCGAGTCATTTAGAAGCACAATCGTCGTAAGCCATCGGATAAA